GCTTCTTTACTCATCAGGTAAGATTTTATTATATGCCGTACTTGAGTTATGAAACTTTTTGAAGGCTCTAGCTTATTTTAGCTTCCTCCAAAGAATACTAAAATTTGTTCTGGCAAGCACTTATATTGTTGGGAGATAAACCAGATCTTCTGAAGGCTGTTTAAACTTCGTTAGGGCAGGTTCAATTCCATTTTGTCTTTATTCCCAGGCTATAGGCATGGCCTTTTACAGCTCTCAACCAAAGGCCGTGGGTATTCACCAAGATCTCTTCATTCTAGCTGGACTCATACCTAATCTTCTTGTTCTCAGTACAGTGTGGCCTCTGAATCTTTGCTCAGCTCCCCAGCTTTCCAGCAGTTATTCTCTGCTAAGCCCCAGTGAGTCTTCCCGCAGAAGCTCAGTTTAGAAGTTGACCAAGAAATGAAGGGATTCTTAGCAGATTTTTAGGACTTTTCTGCAACTCCCCACTGCCAGGGACTTCGCCTGCTCAAATCCACGCCACCTTAACCACTCTAAATTGTAATCTGTGTCTTTTCTACCTGGGTGTACTGTCATTCTCTTCTTGGGCCCTATTTCTCTTCTTTATAGTTTGGAAAAATTCTCTCAACGAGACAGCTGGGGTGAATGTTACCTAAAAGGATTTTCTTTCAAGGATTGTAGACATGCATAGGTTACTGTCCAAGAGCTGCAACAGTATTTTTACATATAGTAGATAATCAGATTTAATGGTTATGTGTGATGAGAGGGTGATATCAGCTACTATGTCATGGGCGAAGTTAGTGCACACCATAAAAATAATTCTAACAGCTATTATCAGCGGACATTTACCAGGTACCTGTGGTTTATGTGTCTTGTCTGATTCAGTCCCCACAGAAAAGTGGTGAGGCAGCTAATATTATTATGTTTTTAGAAGAAAAAACGGAGAAATGCGAAGCTTACGTAATTTGCTCAAGATCACTTGACAATTGTCAAAGCCTGTATTTGACTACCAGCAGTCTCATTTTAGAGTCGGTGCCCTTATCAATTGCACAATTTCTGAAAAGAATAGTGTATTTTATTTAAGGAATAGATACATGGGCTGGCACACACAAATAAATTAACTTTGTAACTCAAGTTTTGTAATTCTGGCACAGAAACGTTGTTAAAATCAAGAGAAATATTCTGAAATTGAACACATACTTTTTTGAAAACTAAGGCACTTTGTATTATTCAGGATAGCAGAGAGTTATTATATGCCCTGTACCCAGTCTCCCTTATTTTTAACAACTAAAGTCCTATAGTTTATTCAGATTTCCTTAGTTTTAACTAATGTATTTTTTTTAATTTCAGGATGTTATATTACTTTTATTTATTTTTATTTTTTAGAGATTTTATTTATTTATTTGAGAGAGAGAATGAGATAGAGCAGGAGAGGGGGAGGGTCAGAGGGAGAAGCAGACTCCCTGCCGAGCAGGGAGCCTGATGTGGGACTCGATCCCGGGACTCCAGGATCAGGACCTGAGCCGAAGGCAGTTGCTTAACCAACTGAGCCACCCAGGCGCCCAGGATGTTATATTACTTTTAGTTGGTCATGTCTCCTTAGGTTCCTTTTGTCTGTGACGTTTTCTCAGACTCGTTTTTGATGAACTTCACAATTTTGAAGAGGACTGGTCAGATATATTGTAGGATGCCCTTCTATTGGAATATGTATAATGTTTTCCTCATGATTAGACTGGGGTTAGGGGTTTGGGGGAGGGTGACCACACCAGTCAATGCCATTCCGTTACATTGTATCAAGAATGTGTACTGTGAACGTGATTTTTCAGCATTCATGTTGACCTTGCTTACTTAATTTTAACATTAAATATTTTTATTATATAATATTTGGAATACACAAAATACACACACGCACTTGTGTGTGATTGTTAATAAAATCATCAGCTGTAAGGCCCCCCCACCTTGTTCCTCCCACCTCCTCAATTAAAAACAGTGGTTTGCATATCTACTGCAGCAAGAAATGCTTTTTTAAAGATCTGTTTGAATTTACCTTTTTTAAAAATTGCTTAGCAATGCTTTTATAGAGATAATTTTGAGATGACTTTGAAGTCCATACATTGTTTGAACACCTGCTCTTTGTACATAGTAGAATTTTCTGAGTATAGGTGGGTCTCACCATCTTGTTTAATCACTTTTTGAATTTCTGTATTTTTCAGGGATAAAATGATTGAGCTCAGGCAGAAAGGGAAAATAGTGAGATAACATTGGTTCTTCTCACTGAATTACACTCATTCCAAATGATGCCTGTTGAAATTGCATAAATAAATTAACTTTTAAAAAGAACATTCTTAAATTCATTAGTTAAAGGTATGTAAGTTATGGAGCTATCAAATGGGAATAGATTTATTCTAAGACTTAGAAATGTGATTTTCTAGCCCTAGTTTCTTAAACAGATTTTTCCTCTTCTTCATGTGTTGCTCTCCTGCTTTCATTATGATAAGTATAAACTGGTTTCAAAGAGGCTATACAGATAGTCTTTTTCTGTTTATTTTTAAAGGGGAAACTAATTTTCATCATCTGTTGTATGTCTCAATTTAATAAATGAGACTTGGGCGTAGACATGTATTATAAACCCTGCGATATTGTAATTAATTAATCATTAAGAGTAACAAATACATATTTAGAGTTAATTTGTATTTTGTTCCGTTTTAGAATATTTATGTATTTATGAATGATGTGGCATGAATGATACCTACTCCTCATATAAGTGAATCACGTTTTAAGTCCAGGCATATTTGGCTTTAGAATGGTTCATATGCGATTTAGGTCTTGTTATATTCAGGAAGCCAGTACAGCCTTTGAAATTCAGTACTGAAATGTCTCTAAAACTCACTTGCAAGATACAAAGTAGCCACGATTTAACCCTTGTGGGTTTTCCCCAGCTCCACCCCTTAGAACACAATCAGGGAAATTGATGGGAAAGTGTAGTTGAAGCAGAGATGGTCTCTCGCCACCATCCTCATAGATGAGGAGCCTAGGGCCTCTGGGCTGATGAAGATGTGATAGTGGAAAGGTTTTGATAATACTCTTTGTACCATTGCCAAGTTTCCTGCCAGATATGCAAATAGGAGTAAACAAAGTAACCAAAAAGTGGTCAATGTTGAGAAATGAGTTAAACTGAAAGGGTGATGATACCTCTATCAGAGCCTTCTTTGCTTTGAATTCATTATAATTTATGGAGTTGCTACCATGTGGTAGGCATTGAACTAGGTGTTCCATAGTCAAAGACAAAATGGAAAAATTCTTTACCTCAAGAAACTCATCATCTGGGGGAATAGATGGTCAACTAAAAACACTATTAGAATTCAGTGTGCTGGAGGAATTAATAGCTGTGGAAACAGAGATTCGCCTCACCCAACTGGGCTGGGGGATAGGGATCCGGGTAGATTGCAACCACTGATAACTGGGTGGAACCACAAAGAGTAACTAGGGTCAGCTAAGCCGGGAAGGGAGTGAGATAGCTTTCCTGGCAAAGGGATTAGCTGAGGCAAAGGAATGGAAGTTCAGAAAAATAGCTTGTTTGGGCAATCTTACGCAGTTCTGTGTGGCTTGGGGAATTGAGTGATTCTAAGGGAATGGCAGAAAGGATGGAAGGATATAAAGGCAAAGGGTTCTGATTGGACCCTGAAGTTCAAAGGTAGCCTTGGAAGGATTTTAGGCAGGGTAGTAATGTGATCAGATCTATATGTTAAAGTAAGTATTTTGATTGCTGTGTGGGATGCAGGGTAGAGGAGGACAAGACTTCAGAGAGACTGTTTAAGAGATTGTTCCAGTAATTTAGGATGGAGATGTTTTGCTGGCAGCGGCAGTTTGAATGGAGTAAGTGGATTCAAGAAACGTTAAGAAGGTAGAAGGAGTAGGTTCTAGTGATACACTGAACACTAGGAGAAGGTGTTAAGGATGTTGCCAGCATTTAGAAGCTGGTTACCAGGTCCCTCTTCCTGAACCTAGCACAATTCACAACACAGAGACCCTAAAGATACTAGCTCTGTTGTGACTTTCTCTTCCCCTTCATCCCCCTCAGGAAGACTAAACAGTTGGAGTAAACATATATTCATAGGCAATATGATTTCACAGGCAAAACCACATTTTAGCAACTTGTGAGAAACTCATTTCACTAATGTGCCTGATCCTTATTTCACAAAAAACAAGCCATTTTTATTTTTCCTCCCAGACCAGTATTCACAGTTTATAACAAAGTCTTTTGTTGGCGAACACTCAGAAACAAAATGAAGGAAAGGCTTGCATCATCGATGAAATATTCACACTTGAGTGAAGAGCCAAAGTTGGTCAGATATTGGATTAAGGGAAAATCTTTTTGTTTCATACTGCTAGGATTTGAAATTGTGTCAGTGTTTTCTTGGTATCTTCAGCAGATACATTTTGTATATAATGAAAAGTGCTTGCAAAAGCTTTTCTCCTTTATTTGAGAGACGACGTGCATACCGGTAGCTATGATCTGAGTTCCAGAGGGTGCCAAGTCCAGAGAGCAGGGGACCTTGAAAAGTGTCTCCCTGAACTCATAAAAACAAGAGGATGGTGGTGGACAGGGGCTGAGTGGTGGAGGAAATGAGAGATGTTGATCAAAGCGTACAAACTTCAGTTGTAAGGTGAATAGTTCTGGGATTTTAATGTATAGCATGGTGATTATAGTTAACAATATCGTATACTTGGCAGTTGCTAAGAGAGTAGATCTTGAATGCTCTCACTACCCCCTCAATGGTAACTGTATGAGGTGATGGATTAACCTTTTTGTAATAATCATTTCATAATACATAGGTATATCAAATCATCACATTGTACAGCCTACACTTACACAATGTTACATGTCAAATATATCTCTGTAAAGCTGGTGGGAAAAAAACTAAAAATGAAGAAATATTAAAAGATAAAAGTAACTATTAAATTTAATGTGTGACATATTTTCTTTTTAAAATAATTATTGTTTTGTCCCTTTTTTTCAGGATGAGCAGAAGCTACAGGCAAGTTTAAGGCAAGGAGTCACAATTATTGCCACCTTAATCAAAGAAAGAAATTCTGGACTTGTTGGTCAGCTACTGGTAGCATGAAGAACACAGAGAAAATTATGTACTGGGTTTTTAGAAACATTTACCTAGGTCTCTGCTGTGCTTCCCTCCCTACTGTATGTGGTAGAATGTTTAATTTGTAGGGGATGTGACATTTGGGTTATAGAAATGAATCAATGTTTATATCTGTGAAAAAAATACTCTTGTGCATGTCAAATATAAATTAATCAGAAAATATGCAAATGGAAAGTAATAACCTTCATGTAATCTTCTGCAAAGGCATGAAAAATCAAATAGAAATCATGATGAATGAGCTAATCCTCCTAGGAATGAGAATTTAGAGAACTTCAACTGTGATCTTATCTCTTTGTTAATTAGTAAATCACACTACCATGAAACGAGTAAAAAAAAGATTGAGAATAATTTTTAATTCCAAAATTGTCCTCTTACCAACTGATATTTTGATTTGTTTTCTAATTTTCCACACCTTAAAAAATAAGAGACAACAGGGAACTCTGGTTCTAATATTTTCACTGTTGGCCTCACATTACTCTAGATCCATAAAGGAGATGTAATTCTCTCCTGCTTTTCTGTTTTAAAATTCTATGTTTTCCTTGGTTTATGAAAAATAATTCTGACTTATATTAAAAGGTCTCTGATTTTTCTGAATGCCTTTAAAAGAAGACCAGAAATCTTCATAAAAGTGAAATTATTTTGGTCAGTCCCAAGTTAGTCTTTTCTGAAAGGTAGGGAGTCATAAATTATTTTTTGACACAGATACTGCTCTTTTTTTTTTTATTTTAATTTTTTATTTAAGTAGGCTCCATGCCCAGCATGGAGCCCAGTGCAGGACTTGAACTCACGACCCTGAGATCAAAACCTGAGCTAGATCAAGAATAAGACTCTTCAAAGACTGAGCCACCCAGGTGCCCTGATACTGCTGTCTTTTAAAATCATGTTCTTACTCTTTCAAATTTCCACTGGTATATACATCTTAAAAGTGTGAATGATTTTCACTTACATTAAATTTTGCAAAAAATGTATATACAATCATTAGAGATAACTTTTATTCTATTTTTACATTTATAAAAACACATTAGATCAGATTCCAAGGCTTAGGTTACGTGTGGAAACTATAAAAGTTGCATGAGATGTTATCAGTTAAAGATAAACTGAGAATTTCTATAAAATTTCTTAACATGTTGGATGATTTTCCCTGTTTTTATCTAGGACCTATATTAGTAGGATAGTTTATATTTTACATTTAAGTAATAGTAGAATATAATGGAGTAATTACTTCAATTCATACTCCTAAATGAAGTGTGTTATTTCAGTGTAGCTTGGATCTAAATTCCTGGGCTTACCACTTTTTTTTTTTTCTCTAGGGGTGATAAAAAACATAAATGGTTTAATTCAAAATCGTGATGGTGAAAGTTATGTGGGCAACATATAGATTTGTGGCTAGAACATCTGTGTCATTGTTAAGGTGGTGGGTTGACTGTGTTGTGAAAAGGTCCACACCTGCACCTTTTGAAGTCTTCAGGTGAAAATGTTTTAGAACTCGGAAGTGGTTATAAAGGCAAATAGGAAAATATTATCAGGGTTTTAAAGAGAAAGTGCCTTTGAGTAAAAGGCAGAAACAGTATATCTATGGCACAGCAAAATTACTGTATCAATTGAGTGCTGGTTAAGTTACCTTAAATTTCAAATTATTAATGGATTGTTGAGCCAGACAAGAATTTATCTGGGAGCGATTACTAATGACTTTACCCTAGGCAATCTTAAACTGTGACTGAAATAATCACCGTCATCATCACCATTATAATCTCATTTGATTTTTTCCTTACAGTTTACAAAGTGATTGACAGCTTTGAAAGTAATTTAAAGAAGTCTTCCCACATCCTTTATTGTGTAGATGGAACTTGAGGTTCAGAGATCTTAGCTACCTTGTGGAGAGCCCTGTGGCTCCCTAATAACAAGAGGTAGAGATTAAACTCAGGACCACTGATGCTAAGTTTGAAGCTTGGCTCCCTGTTTAATTATGATGCTGGCAAAGGGACATCTAGCTGAGAGGCTGTGGGCAGTAAGCCAGAAGCTCTCAGTGAGCCCTGGGGGAATGGACAAAGAGGGGCAGATCATCCCAATGACCAGAGGGAAGTCCTGAAGCTTGTAGCTTTCCAGCCATCTTTCCAACATATAGAAATTGTAGCTAGGGGTGAAGGAAATGGAAAGAATTGTTGGCCAAAAGAGAAAGATAAATTGGTTGTTTTTAGTGTCTGAGAGATCCAGAGGCAACTTTATTGTTAAAAATTTTCATCACTGCTTCTTTCATGGGAACTATTTTCACTTTATTTTCTAAAATGCCTTCTAAAATAATAGTTAAGTTATGCTTCAGCATTGCTCAAATTGTTTTCTACCTGTGGAAAATTTTGTGAATGACTATTTTCTTTCTAAATGTTTGCTAGTTAATTAAATGCAATTTAGTTAGACTTTTATGGAATTTAACAGTGTGATCAATGGTTTGGCTAATGACATATTGGTAAGAGGTGCAATTTTTTTTCATAAAACTGCTCAGTTTGAGAGATAAGTTGTGGAAGTATATGAATTTATGGGTAAGAATTACCAGAGCCATTCTTCCTGTGGTCACTTCAAACGTTTTGCATTGGTTTAACAGGTAAACTCTTTTTTTTCATGCTGGTTATCACTATCAAATTTTATTTAATGCATGTAAATATTTTATAAACATCAAGTTGCAGTAGAACATTTTCTTATATTAAATCTGCAAATTTTATTTCCTTTTAATGTTGAAACTAATTAGGCCAAGGAAGAGTAAATAATATTTGAATTAAAATGTTACAGCCATTTTGATGAAGAAAAAGTGAACTTATTTTCAGTTTCATTAAAAAATAAACAGAATAAATGAAAAAGTATGTATCATTTTAGGATTTGTTAGTATGGTTCAAAATAAGTGAATTAGAACCGGCTTGTGGGTGGCTTGGGCACTATACCATTTATATATGTTCTTATACATTTTTAGTTTCAAAATTGTGAAAAATGTGTGCATTTTTTAAATGAAAAGTAACACACTAGTAAAGATTCTCAGTATATTCTCTTTTAAGAAAAAATATGTAATTGATAAATAACTGAATATTTAATGGTATTTTAAAATCCAATGGCAGTTATCATTGATATTTAGTGTGTATATACATATTTTTTCATACTAACTCGATCACAATTGAATAACTAAATATGACATTTACTCTCAAAAAATAACAGTGTGATGTTTTATATTACAGGTGGAATTTGAGATCCAGATTTATTATTCTGTAAGATATATTAAAAATCTGCAAAATCAGAAGTCTCATTTAGATTTTTTTTCTTCTTCCCCTCATATTTAGCAGGTATCCTAGCAATTACAGTGGCCATTAAGGATATAAAAGCTCTATTCAGTCACAGTGGAAAAGAGTATTGTGATCACTTAACAATGTCTGCATGGGCGTAGTGGGTTGAATTCTGGTTCAGAAATATTCTTTCTCTCCACTCAGCTCCCGTAGGAGGAATGTACGTGCATTTGTTGACTTTGGGATTCATCGTGTAACCTGCTCTGACCAGTAGAGTGAGGCCGAAGTGGCTGTGCATGACTGAGGCTAGCCTCAAGAGACCTTGCATGTCACTGCTTGCTCCTTTCCGCTCTTGCCCCCACCTTGAGAGGAACATGTCCTGCCCGGCCCGCTGTCTCCAAAAGGAACACAAAGCCCAGATCAGTCAATTTCGAGCTAATCAACAAATGGATGAAGAAGCCCAGCTGAGATCAGCAGGGCTCCCTAGGCCAGTTCAGGTGACCTCCACCAGAAAGGTGAGCTGCATAAATGCTCCTTGTTTTTTGCTAGTAGTAAGTTTTGAAACTTTCTGTTGCACGCCAAGTGGTAGTCAAGAAGCTCTGTGGTGGTGCATGACATGTTTGTCCTCACAAGCCTAGGATGTATCTGGAGACACACATGTTGCTAAAGTAGAATGCTTATGAGGAGAAATGTTGATCAGAGTCATGATCCCAAAGTATGAGAAGGTTCTGAGGGTTACCTCCTTCCCTTTTCAATAGTTACAAAAAGAGAAAAATAGACCTGAATGTTTTAGAAAAATTTACAAAAGAGGTTAAACTTTCTTAGGCGTAAGATGATTTTGAGTTAAAATACGGGCACTTAATAATAAAAAATAGCTAACATTTATTGAATGATTACTCTTGTTCTAGAAACTGCTCATGCTTTGCCTGTACCTTTTTTTCTTCAGAATAACTCTGTGTACTGGTACTATACCAATCTCTATTTAAAAAACAAAGAAACCAAGGCACATACATTTTAAATAAACATATTCAGACTCACCCAAGCAGCAAGTGGGAGAAATGAGATTCAAATAGGCTTCTCTCACTTTAGAGCTTATATTCCTAACACAGTGCAATGCAATATTACAAAACGTACTATCCTAAGATTCCTTAAAGAATGACCCTCAAAGATGGAAATCTGAAATATCTTTTTTTTCTTAAATAGCAAGAGAAAAAAAAAAGGCTCAATCCCATTGTCTTTCAGTGTTTCTGTGATGTTCCTTTCCTTTGCCCATCACCACCCCCAACACACAAACATATTTTGGAACATCCCTGGATCTGCACGTGCCAGTATCCTTGACAAGGACTGATAGCGACCAACAGTTACTATCAGTGCCATCCATCTCCGTGGGCTCTAAAGTTGTAGGAGTTTGCTCAGGCAGTGAATGATCAGACATACTTGAATAACGAAAGTGTAAGATTAAAAAGTAGAAGTAAGTACTTTCTTGATGAACCAGAGTTGCATAGAGCCATTTATATCCCAGGAACACAAGACAATGTGCAAAGAGAAGCAGAAATCCATTCATCATGTTTACAGGAGAAAGGAAAGTCTAGAAAAATGCCTAGGTGTGACAAAGTATGGAGTCTTCCCTAGCCATTAGACAGTCCTAAGCATATATCACAATATTTGCTCGATGGGAAGATTTGGGGGTGAATGGTGTCC